GGGCGGGGTCTGTACCTGGCGGCGGGGATGGGGGCGCTGTGAGCCGGGGCGCGTACAGGTGTTGGGGGGCGTCACGTGGGGCCCGGCAGCCGGGAAAAGCCAGCTGCGGAGTCCGCTGTCGGAGGAACGCCGCCTACCCCTGTGGGAAAGGAAACTGGGGAGCTGGGGGGGCCAGAGGAGACAGGTGGCGTCCTGGTGGGGCGCGCCGGGCCCTGCGCTGGAAATGAGGAGCACCTGGTGCAACAGACTTTTCAGAGCTTTAAAAAACAACCACCTACTATAGTTGCACACGAATCGTTGAAAGTTTTTCCCTAGGCATTTCTAGAATTACTTTAGTCGTTCGTTGTCACCACAGGCATCATGGTCTGCGGAGCAAACCCCGTTCGAAATCCAGAATAAGCTTAATGGCGAAGAAAACAAAAGAGCTCTAAGAAATGAGAAGCAAGCCCTATTTTACCTAGTACTTAAATGCTTCATAAATGTATACAAGCATTTTCTTCCAGCATTGCAACAAAAGTGCCTTTTCAAAGCTGACCCTGTTTACTATTGAGAAACTTAAATGCAGTCTCTTATTTTTTTCTTACTTTGAAATGTTACAAAATTAAGGGCCTTTTAAAACTAAAGGAAATGAAATAGAACATAGCATCTCAATGAAATGCTAAAGTAAAAAAATGAATAAATGATTGCGACGATAAAAAAATTTTGTATTAAAACAGAAAAATGAAAAACAAATGTGCTTTATTAGGTGTAACATTTGTTAAATACTGGCTTTAAACAAAATTTTTCTGCAAGAGAGCTGTATCCTGTTCATGTTTACTTATTCAGTTTCCTGTTCCTATGTTTACCTACCATTTGGTTTGCCAGGATTCTGTCCTGTGGAGTTATGTACTGACGGCTCAGGCGTTCAGGAGGAAATACAGGCTCCCATTCTTATGGAGTGGGGGGAAGAATAGCATCCCAGGTGAAGGCGAAGATAATTCTCTGAAGAGGAATTGGAGTCCTTGCTTGTAAAGGAAGCCTTGGTAAACCTCACTGATTCCTTTTATAATATTTTAAAAAGCATTTTCCCCTTTGGCTTTCTTTTTTCAAGTATAGTTTACATTCAGTATTATTTTGTCTTAGTTTCAGGTGGGCAGCATAGTGGTTAGACAATCATATTCTTTACAAAGTGCCCTCCTCTCAGATAATTCCAGTATNTTTTTCAATTACAGTTTACATTCAATATTATTTTGTCTTAGTTTCAGGTGGGCAGCGTAGTGGTTAGACAATGATATTCTTTACAAAGTGCCCTCCTCTCAGATAATTCCAGTACCCACCTGGCACCATACATATTTATTACAATATTATTGACTATATTCCCTATGGTGTACTTTACATCCCATGACTATTTTGTAACTACCAATTTGTATTTCTTAATCCCTTTCACCTTTTTCACCCACTGCCCCAACCCTCCCCCCCCCACAACCATTAATCTGTTCTCTGTATCTGTGACTCTTTTTCAATTGTTTGTTCATTTAGTTTGTTCTTCAGATTCCACATGTAAGTGAAATCATGTGGAATTTGTCTTTCTCTGACTGACTTATTTCACTTAGCATAAGTGATATACCCTCTAGGTCTGTACATGTTGTTGAAAATGATAAGATGTGATTCTTTTTTATGGCTGAGTAATACTCCATTATATATATGTACCACTGCTTTTTTATCCACTTGTGTATTGATGGGCCCTTGGGTATTTCCATATCTTGGCTAATGTAGATAACTTTGCAATGAGCATAGGGGTACACATATTCTTTTGAATTAGTGTTCTGGGTTTCTTTGGATATATACTCAGAAGTAGAATTCCTGGGTCACCCTTTGTCTTTTTCATGAATTGGTACTCCAGTTTACTATAGACCAAATAATAATGTAAAAAAACAACAACATTCAAACTTTAGTGAAATAACATTCCTGTCAATGAGTTATTTTATTACTTTTCACTGAACAAAAATGTAATTTTATCTTTGCCCTTTTTTCAGTTTTAAATTTTAGAGCTAAATCCTAAAATTTAGGACCTAAATGAACAAAAACAGTCTCCTCAACCTTTGCTTTGTTAAACTATACCTCCAATGGGAAATCTCTATGTAGTGGCTAACCATCCAACCACATGCTCGGACAGACTTACAATCCCTTTCTCAAGCTTTTGTTGTAGAACAATTACCTCTCAACCATGTCCTTTCCACACCCCAGTAACTAACTTATATTGAGGTTAGTATGTTCCTCCCTTCATTTCACTTTACGGCAAGGCTTTAATATTTACTAAAAATAGGATTTTTAAAATTTTCTTATCTGATTTATTTTCAATTGAAAAGTAGTACCTGATCATTGTCAATAAATAAATAAACTTGAATAGTATAGAACTGTAAATGAGAAAGTAAAAGACTCCAAAACATTTGCCCAGAGAAGAGCATGTGGTTCACAAATATTCGGAAATCAAGCAATTAAAGACAGCTCTTAACTAAGAACTATAGGCTCAAATTACTTTTTATTCTCTCAAAGGATCAGTCTTGCCCTATGCCAGGATGTGTGACAGCCATCTAGAATGTCTTGAAATGCAGAATTCATTGCTTTGTTCTTTTTGTCATCAACTGCATTTTGAATAGAAGTAAGGAGACTTTATGCTTGCCTGTAAATATTTTTAGGGTCAGCTTTTCAAAACCAAAACACTGTAGAATGTCACGGCAAATAATCTCATACTTTATTCAAAAGCATAACTGCCCACCTCAATTACCCCGGTAATCCTTCTTTAATGAACATATCCTACTTTTACCACGTTTTTTTCTATGCTCACTTTAGCAAATTTTAAAAATTAATTTATTGTTTTAATTCTCTTTAAATTGCTTTGGCTGTGGAAAATTGGCATATTAGTTTTGCAATTCCTGGGCCAGCAACAGCAGGATCACATGTAAACTTGTTGGGAAAGTAAATTATGTGGCCCCATCTCAGACCTATTGAATTAGAACCCCTGGGGGTAGGGCCCCAAAATCTGGCTTAACAAGCCCTCCAGGAGATTCTGATAGAAACCATTCAAAAAACATTGGCGTATGGAAAACATGTGCTATTTACTTAATGGACAGACAGGCATGGAAATGCAGGGAATATGTCAGGTAAAGTAATCCACAGACTCTAAGCGGGTATAGAATAAGAGAAGCCATGAATGAGACTCATGAACTGGATCTTTTCAGATACATATGAACTGTCTCTTTCAGCTTGATTTCCGTGGGCTTATGTTAGTGTAAAACCCTCAGTACATTTGCTGTGGGCAGATATGTAAATTCTTCAGCCTGTGGGAAGCTGTAGAGAAGGAAGTAGGTTTGACCATTGCTGCTGATCATCTCCTAGACCGGATACCCAACTGGCAGTCTGTCTTTTATGCACATGTTTCTGTCATGTGCCAGGCAGTGGCAGGAAAAAAAGTAATACATAAATACATCTATATAAATATATATTTATATAATATATATATTATTGACTTGAGAGAGAGAAGGGGGGAGAGAGAGAGAGAGAAACCCAGCCAGGGCCTATATATAATATATATAGTGTTTTAGAACTACATTTTTGGTTATGTTTTTAAAAGAACCAAAGTGGTCATTATTAGGGAAAAAAAACAAAACATTTTTAGCCTCCTCATGTTTGTTGCATGGCTTTGTATTGGTTTTTAGTTTAATGGCTGCGACTAGTGCACCAGATAAAATCTTTCAGTGTCTGAGGGTTTTAATCTGGCTCTGAACTCTTGTATATCCCCCAAGACCTCAAATTTAACGTGTCACAAATAGACTTCATCATCTTCCCATGATTCTGATTCTTCTCCTGAGACTATAGTCTAAGCTAATGACATCAGTACCCACTTGCCCAGTCTAGAAATCTATCCCTTCCCCTTTCTTTCCCATATCAGTCTGTCAACTCTTTTGTTGATTCTGCCTTCCAAATCCACTAATTTTGTTTCCATCTTCATTATTTCATGCTCAGACTTCTACAGCAGATTCAGGCTGGCGTTCAGGTAGAGCTATCTTTCACACTCAGCTACCAGGGGCTTTCTAAACAGAGCACCTGGTGATGTTATTTCCTTCCAATTGGCCATTTGGTTAAAATCCGGACCTTTAGCCCTCACAGTCTGTTCCTGATCTGTGTCCTTTCAAGTCACAGGTTAATCTTTCCTCAATCCCAGCAATTCTGTGCTTCAGCTTACTTATTACTTGTTTCTAGAATCTGATATCCTTTCCCCCCACCCTCTTGTCAAATGCTGCAGTCCCTTCCTCCTCACTCTCTGGCTAACTCCTACTTTTTCATATCCCCCACATCCTTTTAGCAGTTAAAAGCTCCCTTCTCTATATTCCCAACGCGCCTTTATATAACTCTATCCATAATTATAGCATATCACACTGTGTTAAAATTATCTGGTTCCTGAAATTTGAGATAATTGATAAAGGGAGACTATTTCTTTTTTCTCTTTAAATCTACAATATTTGCCATACATTACCTGTATTAAATAAAAGTTGAATGAATAAATGAGTATGCAAAGAGGAAATGGCAACAAGAAGTATCTCACTTAAAGGCCAAATTAGAGAAATTTTAGTAGTACTTTCTAGAATAAAAGAAGAAAGAGATAAAAGGATTATGAACCCTGATGGGCATCCATAGCATCCCAATTTTGATGTCCAGGAGTTAACAGATTTA